TCTTCCGCGAAATTGTCTACGAAATAAACCACTGCATAGAGGCCCGAAAGGCGGATATGAAAATTTTTCGTTGGTTTATGTTTGAGATTTTGAGGGTATTACACCTAAAAAATATTTTTGGGAGTCAAAATCGAAAATTTTCGAAAAATCCCAGATAGCAGTTCTGTAGCTCTGATGATTATATATTATATAAGTTATATTTTTTAAATAATTTCTGTAACTTGAAAATGATGTAGGTGTGACAATTCTTTCCGCAAAACTTTTTAGGGTCGAAAATGCCCAGAGGGATCCTGAAAGCTTGGTGACGATATCTGCAACACTTACGGAGCTATCGACAGAAAAGAAGAGGGGCCGTCCCCCCCCCTCACGGGGCGCGGGTTTAGCCGAAAAACTGCTCTCCCTGATGACACTCTACCCAAACTTTTGGCTTTTGGCGTAACCCTATTGCTAACTTAGTAACTTGGGTGCACAAAACTTTCCATTAGTTCTCAAACCTGTGGTCAATGGTCATTCTTGAAAGCTATGAACCTCAATAGATCCATATTGGGCAAATGGCCTATAAGCTACAGTAACGTTTAAATTTCAGCATGTCAAAGACGCGTTGCATATCCCTGAGCATCTCAATACACTATAATTTCACATTAAGATCTAATCTTTGAGCTAGAAAAATGTCATCTTGAATGAAATCGAGTCACGAATGCTGCGTTACCACTGACATTGCGTAACCAAAGGCCGCTGCTTAAAATATTTGAAATATTACTGCCGTTTCGTAGCAAGTAACTGGGATGGAATAGGCTTTTCCACACACTGCATGATGGACCGGCTCCAACATTGTTGAGATACGCAGTCAGTGTTTAGCCCAGAACGACGAATAACAGTATGCCACAAACAACGCATCTTCTGCTTATTTTCCTTTCATTGATGGCTGCGGAGTGGAACGGGCTGCTGCCGGGGGAGCGGGGGGGGGGGGCTGCGGGCCCTCTCCCACCGGTCAGGCACACCGGCGGGGGTATAAGAGAGAGCCGGCAGCCGGCCAGCGCACGCAGAGAGCAGCCCAGACCACACGCGCAAACACGCACTCTTCTAGATCACCCACATCATGAAGCTGGTGAGCTTCACGCCGACGCTATCAGGTCATAGGGGTGCCGAGCTACCCAGTTTGGAACCAGACTTGCAATCGGGTCAGACCGCCAGTTTCACCGTATTTCCGTGTGAAATGGAAACACGGAAGGCAAAAAGAAAGCTTCAGAATATCGAGTGCAGTGATTTCGAAAGCTGTTGACAGATTCAACTTATAAACAGCAATGCCACTTGCAGGGAAGGGAAAGTTTTAGACGGTGGTGCATATTTTGATATTGCTCTTATTTCAAGCTCCACTGTACTGATGAAACTGTAACCATGACAACGATATTCTTCCCAACAGTTTGTTGCCTGCTGTCTGCTGGCGATGGCCAGCGCCGCTCCTCAGCTCATTCAGAACACCAGCCCCATCAACATCGGACAACCACAAGTGCGCATCTTGTCAGAACGGTTCGAGAATGACGACTCTGGTAACTACGAGTTCAGCTACGAACAGGACAACGGACAACGGGTGAGGATAGTTCTTGATTCTAAAAAAAAAACTGGCATTGGTTGTGTGAAACTGTCGATTTGCGTTACCTCTTTCTTTCAAGGGAAAAAAACTTAACTGGAGTTTTAACTTGCGAATGCAGTTTCATTCCCCCAAATTGCATTTTGGAACACAGGGCGACAGTTTATGGCTCAAGCCTCAAGCACTTATGGAAGTGATGAGATCGATATCGCACGGCCTGGTACTTAACTAAAATGCCCCAATTTACCTGCAATACACCCTGTATGTAAATTCATTTTGTTTGCTCTTTCAGATGGAGGAGATCGGCCGCTTTCAGCCGGGTCCCGAGCCAGAGACGGGCTCCCTCAGCCAGCAGGGAAGCTACGAGTATGTCGGCGACGACGGCAACACCTACCAGGTGTCGTACGTGGCCGACGTCAACGGCTTCCAGCCGCAGGGCAACCACCTGCCGGTGGCGCCGCAGCAGATTGAGGCGTACGCCCAGCTGAGGGCTGACTTCCCACAGCTGTTCTGGGCCGAGGGGCTGAGCGCTGGCCGACAAGTGGACGAATTCGGACAGCCTATCTTCGAGAACCGCGGCGACCGCATCACCCGCTAGACGGACTCGGTAGCGTCGCGCCCCGACAGACTAGTCTCAGACTCTGCGCCGATAGACTGGTCTCTTGTTTCTGCCCTGGGACTGTTACCCGACATTGCTTGGACCGCAGGCTATTGCCGCGATCGACGATATTGAAATAATGAGCTCAATGTAATATACTTGTGAACTGAATGTGTTGGTTCTGATGTCAAAAAAAAAGGAAGAAAGAAAAGTTTATTAGCCTGGGTTCGGGTTACAAAGCGAGTGACTGATACCATAGGAAATGCAGACGTGCGTGCATCAACCAAACATAGAGTACACAGCTAAGGTGAAAACTAAAAAGTCATGTCTATAGACAATTCATTAACCTACACGTATTCTCCGAAGCATAAGATAATACAGGACAACATGGATGTAATATTTTGGACCATACTGTACCATACAGAACAGCTCCGCGAAAACAAATCAATATTTTATTTCACCCAATCCTGGGCGGGCTCTGAAGCCTCTGAAAGGTTCGGTTTCGGGAGGGAGAGGAATTTTCGGCTCCCAGCCTCATATCTAAATAAAAAAAAAAACACACACACACACACGCGTGGGAGCGACAAATGGTAAATGGGGTTTGACAGTTCGTTGAAAGACCTACAACATAATAAAACAACTTTCGGGTCAGGTCAACAATGAGGTCATCAAAAATTAAATGTTCTGGAGATAGTATCTCATCGTTTTTTACATAACTTTTCAACTCCGAAAAAAGAGACGTGAAAATGAAATGAAAATGACACGTTTCTCTTTTCGTGACGGGTAGAAACCAGAAACATGTACTTGATGACCTTCACAGGTCAATTTCAAAATTTGACAGGCCAAGGTCAGTTCATGACCCAAGAAGGTTGTGTTGCATATCAGTCGACGCGCCATGCCCAGGCAAGCAGTTTGGGTCCATTAACGAGTCATTAGCACCACCATATCTAGATTTATTGACAACAATATTGATGACCTCGCATAACCTCGGGTGATCTTTTCAGGTGCCCCGTCAGTAAACGGCAACTGGATCATAATAGATGAGATGATAAGCCATAATCCCGAAAGAATTGGGTGGTTTAGAATTGTTAACTGGAAACAGGGCGCATTTCAATACTTTCCCATTAGCTTGTTGTATAAAGATCACGAATTTGACCTGACCTCAGGTCACAGATATCACAATTGAGTGACACAACTTACAAATACTGGTACCCTAAAGAAAATCTGACGAGAAGGAAATGTTCCGTCAAAAACTCTAGCTCTGGCGTGATTGCAAACATTTCTGAGGTGGGCTAAAAAACCCACTCTGGTGACCTGACCTGACCTGGAGTCCGCGTTCTCATCAACGGCGACCTACCAACCGAGCAAGCAGCCCGAAACAGACCAACAGAGAAACCAAAGCTTGTCAAACGAAGGTAGCCATGCTCTGCAGGGAACATAAAAAAGGCGTAAAATGAACGACAGGTTTAACTGTTTGACTTAAAACATAACATCCGGAAGTTGACATCCTCAAGAAACTTTGAGCATATTGTCCAAACCAGCTCCCCTGAAGTCCAAACCAGCTCTCGTCAACAACACCTTTATGACGTAGTAGCAACAGGAAAACGAGAGGACTTACACCACCATGCAAGAAATGATGATTTTTTTAGTTCTGTCACACAATTTGCGAATAACTGAAAACGAACTCTTTCTTATCGTCATCAAACTTTTCTGCGACATGGTCATGAGACAATACTGACGTGACTTCTTATTGACAGTCGTCTACAAAAGTAACAGTCGGAACGTTTACGCAGAAGTTTCTTAGAAATCGCTCACAAGTTTCATTTCCTCTCCAAGCGCCAGTATCCCAAACACTTTTAGGTTAGGAACTATAACACGGTCCGACCAAGGTAGACATAATGTATCTACGTCGGCGTCACAATAAAATAAAAATTCACCCAGCGCCACAAGATGTTGCGTGCTGAAAGATAGCTTCCGTTATGGAAATGGACGAATGGACATGGACGTTCTGACACGGCACAGACACAACGTAGATTTTCCATCTGAGGTAATTTGGCTAATTACACGGTATCCTAAACGACCACTTAGATCGCCTCATTGCCGACATCTTTGTCCAGCAGCTCATCGTTGGAGCTTTCTCGCAATTCCCGGCGCCCTATTCCCCTGCACTCCCCTGGCTGGGGAGTCCCAATCAGAGCTGCCAAAAGGAACGGCGGGAGGACGGCAGAATCGCAAATAAACCACGGCATGATGACTCGAGGCTATCCATAACGAGTACAAAAAGCAGAGCCTAAGACGGCAATATAACAATGTTGATCCATCTTCTGGTTTCTGCGCATCGGCCTCCATTACTCGTCCCACTAGCTAAATAAATTTCATCCCATGAACCGTAGACAAATGTAATAATTCATAGACAATAAATGTCCGGAATAGAGCTCAGATAGCTAGGCGAAATACGCGAAAAAAAACTTGCGATGAATAAAGCCACCTTATGATTTACAGCAAGAACATCATGAAAAGTTTTCGTTTAGCCCTTACGAGCTGAGATTGGTGACAAACACCCAAACACTGATTCAAAGGCGAAAATCGACCCTGGTCAGAGTAAACCGTCGAGCTGGACTGCGGATTGGCAGCTTTTGGTACAGCGGCCTATCGTCTCGACAAGCGAAGCGTGCCAGTGTTGCCGTCGTCGCCGCCGGCAGGATCCGAGGTAGGCGGGGGCGGGGGTGGGGGCGGGGGCGGTCCCTCTCCGCCGCCCGGCCGGTCGCCAAGGTATAAGGAGCCGGCGGTCGGCCAATGGACACAGTTCATCCCAGGCCAGTGCCGAGCACGAGCGACTAACGAATATTGCATACAGACAAGATGAAGCTGGTGAGACGGTATTGCACTCAGTGTAAGAGCTTGTATCTTACTGACAATTGCATGATAAAACAGAAGACAATGATTCTTAAGGATTTTCCGAGCATCCCAAGATGTCTTCAGATGACTTAAAATATGGTTAAAATTAGTCAGATACAAACCTTGTTTCGCTAACTCCAAAATTCAGCCAAACGCTCATAGCTAAAAAATGCATGTTCAGAAAACGGCTTTTTGTACGTCTTTACACGTCTTTCTGGGTAAACTGACGCTCATTTTGACCCACTGCTAGGTTAGGCGCATTATAGGCCGACTATTGCGTTCGCATTATGCGCTTCACTGATCATCAATCCTGTGCCCTCAGTTCGTGGCCTGTTGTTTGCTGGCGGTTGCCAGCGCCGCTCCCCAGCTGATTCAGAACACCAGCCCCATCAACGTCGGACAGCCACAAGTGCGGGTCCTCTCAGAGACTTTCGAAAATGACGACTCTGGTAACTACGAGTTCAGCTACGAACAGGACAACGGACAACGGGTAAGCGCCACACCGTCTTGATTTATGTTTATGACTAACTTATGAGTGTGTGCCAGGAGTCTCAAAGCGTACTTTTGCTATTTCCTAGCTCAATGATACTTCCACAAACTATTCGGAACCTAAACGTTGAAGTCTGTCAGTCAGCGAAGGACACTTGTATAGGTCCAAGCATTTTTGTCAAACTGTTGATCAAAGCCATCGTTTTCACATCTCTCACAACTGCCATTTCTCCTAAACAGGTGGAGGAGATCGGCCGCTTCGAGCCGGGACCGGAGCGCGAAACGGGCGCCATCACCAAGCAGGGCAGCTACCAGTTCATAGGCGACGACGGCAACACCTACACCGTGTCGTACGTGGCCGACGTGAACGGCTTCCAGCCGCAGGGCTCCCACCTGCCGGTGGCGCCGCAGCAGATTGAGGCGTACGCCCAGCTGAGGGCTGACTTCCCACAGCTGTTCTGGGCCGAGGGGCTGAGCGAAGGCGCGGACCTGTCTGACTCGCGGTCGGACAGCTTCAACCAGCGGGGCGCCCAGCGCGCCGAGCGGTTCGTGCTATAAACCAGCTATAGATGCGGGCTCTGCGGGCCAGGGGGCTCTGAGACAAAACTGGAAGCAAACTCAGCCGCGAATCAGCGGGACGGTGACGAAGCAGTCCAATAGTCTTGGACGGAGCCTCAGCACCGCGAAGACGACTTCTCTTGCCAGTAGAAAGGAGAGCGGACTTTCGGCGCCGCCAAATATCCAAAGTGGCGGGAATATGTATATAAACTGTGCACACTGATGGTCAAGGCAGTGCTAAACACCGCCTTTCATTCACATACCTCGTGTATTGTATGATTCTGACCAACCTCTGTGCTGTCTTGTGTTATGGATCCCAACATGCAATACATGGATGCTCAAATGAATCAGGGTTATGTCATGGTCTAGTGGGAAACAAGGTTTATTCAAATCGGTACATCAGCAGAACGCGCTGTCCTAACGCGGGGCGGTTATTCGTAGAACTACAACTGCTACGGGACCTGACCAGATTGGTAGAACAGCGCTTCGCACAAATGTAGGAGGCCAGAATCATCTGTGTCAATAACAAATCAAAAGAACTTCAATAAAAAATGTGTTGTGCTATTCTTATACAGTTCATTTCATAATGTCCAAATGATATTTACAGTTTCATGTTCTTTATGAAAAATGCATGGGTATCTTAACCAAAAATATAAACTTCCCTGTATCGAATGAAAAAAAAATGGCAAGAAATGGCAATGGGCAAAGAACTGAAAACGCGAAAAGCGGTGAGACCTTTGGGTGGATGCAAAGTTTTTTACACCTACTGTACGATCTTGAAAGAAAAACAGACCGCAGTGTGTGCTGTGCTAGCCCGCGCCCAACTGGGGTCAGCGTGTTACGCGACCTACTGGCGGGGGGGGGGGGCTATTCATAGCCCCCTCCTAACTCCAAAACTACTGGGACGATTTCAAAAGTCAAGCGGCGTCTGATATCCCTGGAAACTGTTGAACGAAACCTAATTTCATTGACCTCGACGTCACAGATGACGTCACAGGTCAGGTCAAAGTAAAAGTTATCAATGTTCGGCTTCTTCACCTTTTGGGCTCTGGCCGCCAGCTTACAAGTCAGATCAGGCTTTTTTTACACACTCGTGAATAGATGCTCTAGATACCCTAAGGATACCAATCTTGTACTTTGATTTTCAGGTCAGGCACAGGTCATCCCAGGTCACGGAAAACATATCATGCATCGGTCACGTGACACAAGTTTGAGTATATTTAGGCCTAAAAATTCGAATTCGATGTCGTTTATGTCATTCGAGGTCATTTTGAGTTGAATTTAGCTGAGGTTAGGTCACTTTCAGGTCAAAAAGGTCAAATTTAAAAGTTGGGATTTTTAACAAGAAATATGTCTATCAGATGAAGATTGAGCTCAGGAACACGATGGTGCTATCTATATTGGTGTATGATTTCAAATACGTACTGAAAATTGATTTTAAAAAGTCATAACAGTGAAATTTTGTGTATGCCTAATGCGTATAGCCTGGCTATTTTTTAACCCTCGCATGTGTGCGGCGTTTTCCAGCTTCTAATGTGTAGGGGGGGGGGTCGGTTGGACCCCCCCCCCCTTGCCGTTTGGCCCCTGATCGAGCTAGAGCTTCGCGGAAAAAACGAGCGTGTTGCCCGTGACGAGAGGAAGCCGATGATACCCAATTTTAAGGTCCTAGGTCATTGGTTGACCTTCCAGGTCAGGTCAATGACCCAAAGTCGGGAAAATCGGGACCTATTAGAAAGTCGTAAAGTGTGGCTGCTAAGGGGTTTTTCGGGGTGCTGATCACGAATATCGTGTTAATTTTGATCACAGATGATGTCTTTAAGCATTTAGACCAAGTCGGGTCAGGTCAGGTCAGGTCAACCAGTAGGCGTCGTGACGGGTATTCGTAGTACGTGTCAACCGCCTCTGACAGCTTCGTAACATGTTACGAAGGCACCAAAACTACTTCTTAAATGTTCAAATGGCTACTAAATTCGAATTCAGCTCCAAAAACTAGCCTAGAAACATGTAAAACTCGAAAAAGTGAACTGAGGTCACCCGAGGTCACCAAAGGTCAATGACCTGACCTGACCTTCAGGTGACCTTGACACCCACCCTAATGCACGGGAGCAACATCAAATCACATGTTTGAACGTTTGAAACCACGAAAAGCTTGCAAACGCGCGGCTAATGCGAGCCGACGTACGCCAAATCGCGATTCCGGCCAAACATGGTCTCGGAAAAGAGGTCACAGGTCAAAGGTCGTTTGGGTCAGGGTCATGAAATTTTCAGGATAGGTGTAAAATTGATCAATGCGAGGGTACTGAAAGTTTCGTCGCGATCGGCCGCTTTTTACGCGATACACATGCGAGGGTTAATATATCCGGCTAAAAATTGCTAGAGTATATCATCAGCATGTGTTCTATCACAGCTATCCCGCGCCCTGGTGGGGTCTGTTTATAACGCGACCTGGTGGGGGGGGGCTATTTTTTGCCCCCCCCCTCGTATCTCCGAAACTACTGGACGGATCCGCAAAATTCAAACGGCGTTCGAAAGGCCTGTCAAATTTGTCGAGGAAAACCAAATTTCATTGACCTCGGGGTCACCGATGACGTCACAGGTCAGGTCAAAGATGAAATGTTTCACCGTTCACGGGTCTTCTAGGGAATGCGCTATAATGTTACGTTTCTTCTGTATTTTCACTTTCACACAATACTATGTACACACACATCGGCAGCCCCGCGTCCCCGTCCTCTCGGCTCGCGGCCCGCCAGCCGACTGCCTGCCGCGCCGGCCGCGCCGGCGCGCGCCGACAACTTCCGGGCCGTGCCGCTAGGTGGCAGCAGCTGCCGGCCGCTACAAACCTCTACACCCTTCCCCCCTTGACAGGGAAAGTACCTACATCTGTACGTAACGGCAACCCGGATGACACCACTCAACCGTTCCCCTGCGGCACACTATCACATGAATGACGAACAGATCTACGCCACGGTAAGCACTCGACAAACCAACCTCATACCCTGCTCACCCGCCCCGGCCTCAGCCTCACGCGCAGACCTACAATCGCGCACACATCTACGAATAAATCATAGCGAAAATGGCAGCACGGGTGCCTGGCGCCACGCCCGGCTGAGCGTCACGATGATACGCAAACCAAGTCCGCACTCCGGTGTCCCTCGGGTCAGCGGCGAGCAATCACGATACACAACACAATACAATACAATTTGTGTTCGTCGAACACAAATTCACACCGCGCCGGGGCGAATCTCCAGCGAATTCGCCACAGACCGGGACAGCCAGAGCCTAATATATACACAGTGCCGCCCTTGGGCGTCCGCCCGCTCAGGTAATTAGTCGCATATCACCACGCAGCCGCGCGACACGCCCTCAGGTCCGTGTTACCAAGTGTGCTCGTTGCAGCGGTGGAGCAGCGCCACCACTCCGCTATCCAGCACACATATCCCTCCCGCTCACTGCCGCGGGGCCATCCACGGCGGCAGCCGTGCGGCTATCTTCCGATATCCGGCCGCGGTCAGGTGGATGCCGTCGGACTGGAAGTAGTTCGCGGCCGCGGCCGCTGTCAGGAGGTACTCTGACTCTCTCCCGCGGCGACGACGCTCGGTCAGGCATCGCCCAACACACGTCACCGACACGTTGCCGTTCAACTCCCGGGTCCAGCGTACCATTTTTCTCTCCAGGTCGAACGCAGCCGTGGTTTCCCACTTGGCCGCCCCGCACTCGGCAGTCAACCCATCCCGCGAGGGCCGCGGCGTCGGACCCACCAGAATGACGGGTGCAATGGTGGCCACTTCTGACACCTGGGCGGTCACTGCCGACCACAGCTCCTGGCTCATTTCTCTGGGTGGTCCATTGCGGGGGTAAACATCGTTACCCCCGAGCCACAGTGCTATGGCTGCCGGGTACACTTCATTGGTATTAGCCCATGCACGAACCACGTCGATCAATGCCCCGCTGCTCAGGCATCCTGCCCAATGCTTGCCGATGTTAGCGGGCGGCACCCATACTGCCACTCGCCAGTTACGGGCATTAGTGGCAAATTCGGCATGCCGCACAATAGAATCGCCGATTATGAGACCGGAGGGCCGCCCCGTATCATCCAACGGTCTCATTGGGTGTTCCAGCGGAGAGGGAATCGGCGACCCGCCATTCCCCCTCGGCGGACCATCGCGGGCCGCGGTCCCGTCGGCGACCTTCCGCCTTGGAGGGCTCTCCGACCCTTCCTGTTCCACCGGAGAGGGGATTGGCGACCCGCCATTCCCCCTCGGCGGACCATCGCGGACCGCGGTCCCGTCGGCAACCTTCCGCCTTGGAGAGTTCTCCGACCCTTCTATTGCCTTCCTCTTGTGCGGCGGCGACGCCGGAGCATCGCCCTGATCTCCTGGGGCCATGTTGAAGGAAAAAAGGATGGTCTCCCACTCGTCCTCTCCCAAGATCTGCTGCAGGATGTCGTCCCCCTCGGCCATGGGATCAGGTTACGAGTAAGGATGTTTCCCGCAGGTCTGAAATCAAACGACGCGTTATTGGCGAATATATACAAAATACACCGCGGACATTTAGGCGATACTGCACACCCCTTAGAAAGCGGAACCCGCCTGATATGGTACGACCGGCCGCGACATACGGCCAGCCCGCGTGAAACGCGGAGTGGGTGGGCCGTAGATAGGAGGCTCGTCTGCTCTCCCCTCCCCCACTCCCCCAGGAGCTCCTGCCGCCGGAGGACGACACTGGAAGAGCAGCAGATGCTGAGGAATTCCACTCCGCTCGTCGTCCGCGAACCGACCTCCGCCCTGCTCATCTGCTGGTCGGGGCGTAGGGGCGGCCTGGCGGACTCTTGTCGCCTCTCTGTCTTGCCCGGTCCTCTCGCCGCCGGTCCGCTGCCGTTTCTCTTTAAACGGCTTCAGGTGGTTGTGGTGAAGCACCCGGGTCTTCCCATCGCTCCCCACAACCCTGTAGACCACCCCGCTGTTCCGCTCGTCGATGTGACCAACAACCGTCCACGGTCCCTTGTAAGGCAGGCCCAGCTTTGGCTTCCCGCCTGCTGAAGCTGTGAAGTCGCGCACCAGGACCTTGTCTCCCACCTGATAGGCATGTGCTCGCCCTTTCTGGTTGTACCTCTTGCAGGCTTCTTGTGACGCGCGTGCAGAGTTGCTCCGTACTCGCTCATACGCGGCGCGAATGACCCGCAGCCGATCTTCCAAGTAGCTCCGCACTGGCACCGCTTCAGGAGGTGGACCGTATGCTGCATCCAGGGGCATCCGGGGTTCAAACCCGTGCACTAGGAAGTACGGTGTGTAGCCCGTGGTGCTGTGCACCGAGGAGTTGTACGCCATCGCATACGCCTTTACTTCCTCGTCCCAGTGCAGCCCCTCTTTGTCGATGTACTTGCTGATCATATCCTTGAGTGTGCGGTTGAACCTCTCA